AAACGCCACATGGGCTCGTAACCTGAGCAAAATGCTATGCTTATGCGAATGCTATGCAAAATGCGAACGCTATGCATGCGAGGGCGCGTTGCCCTAACGAACGCTATGCATGTGAGGGCCCGTCGCCCCAAAAGACCGCCATGCATGTGAGGGCGCGCATGTGAGGGCGCGTCGCCCTAACAACCGCTATGCATGTGAGGGCGCGTCGCCCTAAAGACCGCTATGCATGTGAGGGCGCGTCGCCCTAACGAACGCTATGCATGTGAGGGCGGGTCACCCTAAAGACCGCTATGCATGTGAGGGCGCGTCGCCCTAACGAACACTATGCATGTGAGGGCGCGTCACCCTAACGAACGCTATGCATGTGAGGGCACGTTGCCCTAACGAACGCTATGCATGTGAGGGCACGTTGCCCTAAAGAACGCTATGCATCTGAGGGCGCGTCGCCCTAACGAACGCTATGCATGTGAGGGCCCGTCGCCCTAAAGACCGCTATGCATGTGAGGGCCCGTCGCCCTAAAGACCACTATGCATGTGAGGGCCCGTCACCCTAAAGACCGCTATGCATGTGAGGGCGCGCAGCGAACATACTGCATGTGTGGGCTCACTGCCCAGCGAACATACTGCATGTGTGGGCTCACTGCCCAGCGAACATACTGCATGTGTGGGCCCGTCGCCCAGCGAACATACTGCATGGGGGGCCCGTCGCCCAGCGAACATAGTGCATGTGTGGGCCCGTCGCCCAGCGAACATACTGCATGGGGGGCCCGTCGCCCAGCGAACATAGTGCATGTGTGGGCCCGTCGCCCAGCGAACATACTGCATGGGGGGCCCGTCGCCCAGCGAACATAGTGCATGTGTGGGCCCGTCGCCCAGCGAACATACTGCATGGGGGGCCCGTCGCCCAGCGAACATACTGCATGTGTGGGCTCATCATCCAACCAAACATGGTGCATGTATAGCAGTCCTTGTATCTGATGTTTATATAGTAAGTACCGCAGTAATACTTACGTAATGTAAGCATAAAATTGTTGCTCTCTGCAAACTCTAAAAGTTTTCTTTAGAGTTTTCTTTTAACCTGACGAAGACTTTAAGCTTAAAGCCGCTTAGGTACTCCAGGTGACCTATGCGTTAGAACAACTAAGTTCTGTCACTTATTACACCACCACAATGGTATTTAGAATGATGAGCCCATTCACTTATCACTCCATTTTAGCATATATAATAATTAAAACACTTAGTACACTTAATCAGTAATTTAATTGCACTTGTTACTAATACCCACGATCTGTACTTTTATTGGATATATACTGATGCATCTTGCTAATATCTCTTATGTTCCTTTTCAGACTAGTCAATCCAGGTAGGTATCCCTTGGGTATCCATTATCTCTTACAAATCTTTTGGGGTATGCTCCGCCCCCTGCCGTCCCTGTATGGCAGGATCTGCGAAGCTCTACACGTCAAAGTACCTGGGCTGATGACGGGGCCCGCGCCAAGGACTTTAACTTACAAAATCTTGTTATATATGGAATCGTTAAATACTATTAGATTAAACTATTTTCCTTCCTTCACGTTCGTCTCTGGAGTCTTTCTGGTAGAACTACATTTAGATGCCAGGATGTGACTGCGGCTTCTTTTCAGGTGGAATTTAAAAGCTGCCAAACAAAAAAACAACTTGTAGAAATTAAAACATGATTCAACATGTAGCACTGTTTTTGCCAGACAGCAATATTAACATATGTTTATCTGTACATTGTTCAGTTTTATTTTTTACTATTTACAAATATTTACATTGTTATTCTACAAAATAGATTGACTTAAAAAGTTACACTGTAAAATTTATATCAGACATTTTAATTATGCCATGATATACATTTTTGGCAATAGCACTCACTACCATATAGAACCTTTACAAAGGACCATGCACTGAAAGGTTCTTAAGGGAAGTGGTTCCTTTGTGGCATTCCTCTAAAGAACCCTTTTGGAAACACTTAAGGCTATGCATGTATGTTCTACACTGAAGAAGTGGACTGACAATTCAAATGTGTAGCCTTCTCCTCATGAATACGAAACTTTTACAGTTTGTTCACTTTTGGCCAGAATTGAATTGTGTGCAGTACATTGTATTCATGTGGAACCCATATACACATTTGATTATATATATATATATATATATATATATATATATATATATATATATATATATATATATATATATATATATATATATATATATATTATGAACACCTCCTTGTTTCTACGCTCATTGTCCATTTTATCCCTCACAGAGCAGGTACTATTTGGGTGGTGGATCATTCTCAGCACTGCAGTAACACTGATGTGGTGGTTGTGTGTTTTTAAACACCTCATTAGTCCACCAACCAAAAACATCCAGCCAACAGCGTCCTGTGGGCAGCGTTGTGTGACCACTGATGAAGGACTAGAGGATGACCAACATAAACTGTGCAGCAGCAGATGAGCTATCGTCTCTGACTTTACATCTACAAGGTGGACTGACAAGGTAAGAGTGTCTAATAGAGTGGACAGTCACAGTGTTTAAAAACTCCAGCAGCACTGCTGTGTCTGATCCACTCAGACCAGCACAACACACACTAACACACCACCACCACGTCAGTGTTACTGCAGTGCTGAGAATGATCCACCACCCAAATAGTACCTGCTCTGTGAGGGTCCATGGGGGTCCTGACCACTGAAGAACAGGGTAAAAGGGGGCTAACAAAGTATGGACTACAGTCTGTAACTGTAGAACTACAAAGTGCACCTATATAGTAAGTGGAGCTGATAAAATGGACAATGAGTGTAGAAACAAGGAGGTGGTCATAATGTTATGCCTGATCGGTGTATATTGTGTCCAGTCACCCCAAAAAGAATGAACTATGTTTCCATGCCGAGATGAACAACTGCCCATCCTGTGCAACCTGATGCTGCTGCATCACCCATGTTGATCGAGTGCTCCTGCTCGCCTGCCTTCTGGTTCAGTGCTGTACAGAAAGCCTCTCCTGCATCCCCGACTCACCCTCCTGATGTTACTGCCTGCCCAGACTCAAACTAGAACTATTTAGTCATAGACACTGATTCACCTGCCCTACAATACACTGAGCTCCTCACATATTCATACTAACATATCATCGTTATCGGCTTCTAAACATAATAAATGATGTTTATGGATGAAGCTCTCATTTTCACTGCAGTAGGCTTCTAACAGTACTGACCGTTTTTCTTAAACACAGCTGTATAACAGAAGTTCTTTCAGTTACTGGTCAGGGAACCGGGAATGCTATGGGAGCCATGCCAGAAGCAAAACACCGCCCTTACTCCTGGACGTCTCCCTTTTTATTGGTGGCTCCCCCCGGTGGTGGTTTAGTGCAGCTGCGCCTCTCACAGTTCTGTTATCAAATACAGGAGAAGACACACTACACAAAAAAAACACAGGGTCATAATATAGGCCTAGAAGAGTAGTCATCAGCTGTGACAAGCTGCTCTTTTTCTCTATATTCAATACTTTATAGTAGTTGTAAAACCTTTTATCATTTATTCATATTGCACTTGTGTTATTGTGTTGTTATCCAACGTCAGTCGGAGAAGGATGGATTTCACTTTCTTAGTTCCTCTCAGGGTTTCTTCTTCTCGCTCTTAGGGAGTTTTTCCTTGCCCCGGGCAGTCTTCTCCCGCTCACTGGGGCTTGGATTTCTGTTAAGCTGCTTTGTGATGTCTTTTGTAAAAAGCTTGATATAAATACATTTTCATTTGACTGGTACATCAGAGACTTGAGATCTGGACTTAAACTTCAGATATTTGAGACTTGACTCAGGCTCACTCCTCAGAGACTTTAGACTCGACTTGCACTCACACCTCAGAGGCTCGACTCAGACGTGCTCATCAGAGAATTAAGACTCAACTCAAACTTGAATCTCAGAGACTTAAGACTCGGACTGGCACCTCTGAAACTCAAGACTCGACTCTGACTCGCTCCTCAGAGGCTTGACTCACACTCTCACCTCAGAGACTTGACTCAGACTAACTCCTCCGGGACTTGAATCTTGACTCACATTTGCTTTTCAGAAACTCCTCAGACTTGGCTCACACCACAGAGACTGAAGACCTGACTTGCACTCACATCTAAGGGACCTAAGATTCAACCTACTCTCACATCTCAGAGACTTGACTCTGACTAACTACTGCTCCAAAGATCGCGGCCAGGAAACACAGGTTTTTGGCCTTGTCCCTCACATTCAGAGATTTCTCCAGGTTCTCTGAGTCTTTTAATGATATTATGTACTGTAGATGATGAAAAGCAGAAGTTCTTTGTTGTTTTACATTGATAAACTTTTTTCTTGAATTGTTGCACTATTTGATGGTGCAGTCTTTCACAGAGTGGTGAACCCCTCCTCATCTTTACTTCTCTGAGATGATCTTTATACCCAATAATGTTACTGACCTGTTGCCAATCAACCAACAGGTGTTTTTTTTAGCATTACACAACTTTACCAGCCTTTTGTTGCCCTGTCCCAACTTTTTTGGAACATGTTGTGCCGTCAAATTCAAAATGGGCATATATTTTTCAAAAAACAATGTTTGTCAACATTGGTTGTCTTTGCACTATTTTCAATGGAATACAGGGTTTAAATGATTTAAACATCATTGCATTTTGTTTTTATTTACAGTTCGCACAGCGTCCCAACTTTTCTGGAAATGGGGTTGTAGTTAGCTGATGAGGTGAAACAGGTTTGGTGTGTTTGCTCACAAACAGCATCAAACAGCATCTAATGCAAAATAACTACATAAAACAGAAGTAAAAGTGTAAACATGCTGAACATCCATTTTTCATACTGATATAAAATAAATTTGAGCACTGTATATCAGGTTGTAATCTTTATTTTACACAACTCTGAAGTCTCTGTAATAACTCTGAAAGTTACAACCAGATAACAGACAACAGAATAATAAATAAAACAAGAGGTCAGGATAGAGCAGTGATGAAGTAAAGAAGTCCAGAGTTTATTGTTTTGGCTTTTTAATATGAACATACAGCAGTTCAACTTGTTCCTGGTTCAGAAAGAAAAAAAAGCAATACTTGATTAAACCTTTTGAAAACTATCTTAAAAACACAGTATTTGTTTCGGAGTGATCTAAACTTGTCAAAAATCATGCAGTGTTTTAATGTGTTGAATAAATTAAAATGATTCAGTTTATATTCAAACAATCAGAAACTATAATCAAAAACGATTCATAATTAAATACTGCAGTGAGTTTTGTGTGTTTACCCTCGGTGTTGAGTGTTCTTTTAGGGGATATATGGCCTCATACGCACTCTGGTTAAAGCAGAGGAAAAGGAAGGAAGACTCACTGATTTTTCTTCAAACGTAAACATACAATACTAAAGCAAAGAAAACTTAATACAGAAATATTTGAGGATCTATAAGAGTTCTTAAAAATAGAAGAATGGAAAAAGGGCTGTGGTTGATATTAAAGAGCAATGCCAGTAAAAGTACTGGAAAATGTAACAAAAGCACTGGTAGCTGGTTGTGTGTTCCTTTAAAAGTTTATGACTATACAGAATGTGTCTACATGTGTCTGCCTGCCAGCAAATCTCAGAAAAATTCTAAAGATTTTATGTCCATTTTATTGAAGTAACGTCTTCCCATCTTGGCAGTAAATATGTTTCAGTGTGTACTAATGTCCCAGAGTAGAATGAAAAATATAATATGAATAAAAACAACTGACTTAAGCTTTAGATCAGCGATAACCAATTTTCTTGCATCTCCTGGAGGATACTTTTCCATAAAAAGTAGAATGGTTTCTCGCAGAATGTCTCTCAATGTTTTACTTTTTATGAGGCTGAGGTTGCTTCTCATTGGCCAGCTTCTTGTTTGAATTTTCCCATCCCACCTTAAATGATGTCTGAGGCGCCAGAATGGAACTGCTGCTCCATTTAAGGTGGAACAGAAAAATTCGAAAGTAACCGAGAAGCCGGCTTTAACTTGACAACGTTTTAGTGTTTGATTTTTTTTTGCTGCAGATTAAACGTATCAGGAAACCAGCCGGAGTGATTATAAACGCAAATAAGTCTGTCCATTCATCTCCAAATCAACAATGTTCATCTTAAGTCTTTCTTTTCTTTGCTCTTTTTTTAGCTCTTAGCTGGGCGAGATTGTTTTCTGCATTGCTAGGTGACCAGCAGTCTGCACGCCAATGTCCAGGGTTAAAGGCTGGAGAACTGGCAGTGTTTAAGGCCATTTATAAATTAACTCCAGCATTTGAGTCCATTTATTGTTAGACTGTGTTAGAACAGTCAGCAACACTTTATTTTACTGTGAAGGAGGATTCTTTTATTTTTACCTATAAATCTAATTCTGCTGTGGAGCCACAAGAGGGCAGCAAAAGAGCTGCATGCCTAGCCACACTTCCACAGTCTCTCTGTGTCAGTCTGCAGCCAGCAGCCAGTCTCTGTAACACTAATGGTATGCTAGCGGGCTGCAGGTGCCAGTTAGCTAGCCTACCATTAGCAGTTTAAGGAACACCAGCTTTGTTTGAGTAGCAAACATTAGCTGGCTAGCTTTGTTATCGATCTGCCACAGCATCATTCTTTTAATTTCATAACAATTTTTGAAGCAGTACTGTGGATAAAATCCACATTTCACTCCTCACTTGAAAACATGACTCCTGGTATATCTTAGCACAAGTTTGTTCTGCATGATTTGTTTTAGGGCAGAAAAATAATGAATGCAAATCTGAGCATAAACCAGTGGACTGCAGTGGGTTTACCTGTGATCTGGACTCCTGGATGAGTTGCCAGGTAGTAGATGGGTTCCTTTGTCCTTTGTTGGTCACTTGCTAATAGAGAAACACAGCATGATTGACTGACTCATTTGTGAAAATTATCTTTAAGATACTCAACGTATAAAAGCCACATGACTGATTTCCAGCATGAAGTTTTTATTTTTTCTCATTATTTACTGTCAGCAACAACTGAAAGCTCCCCTGAAGAGTCAGAGCCACCAGCAGGCTAGTTTAGATACTGTGGTCACTCACACTGATCAACAACATCAACACAAATGAAATAATTTGTACATTTATTAGACGCTCCGTGATAGCTGTTACTGTAATATTGTAAACAACATTGTAATAAAATCTGAAATATTGTGAACTTTGACAAAAAAAAGTGGGCCTACCTCCTTAACCTGACTAAACTAGCTTAAAAAGCATAAGAAAGTTTTATTTATTCTTTCTATACACCTAAAAGTAAACCATAAGTAAGTGTGTGAGAACAATACGTCGACAGTAAACTCACCAGGTTTTGTGGTTGTGATGGTGTTTTCAATAGAGTCATAGAGGTGCTCCTGATTTTGTGAAACAATGTACGCTGCTGAGACACAGAGCAGAAATTACACCGTAAATATCACTCTTTAAGAAGTCAGAGATGCCAAAAGTGTTCTTTGAAGAAATGCCACAGAATAACCACTTATTATATGGTATTTAAAAAAATAAAAAAATTAAACATACGTCCAAGCCAAGACTAATTTGGTTTTTTGTTTTTTTAAAATGTGCATAGAAGTAGAAGTGAGAACTGGTAGAATGATCAAAATTATTTCTTAAGAATGAGTTTCATCGGTACTGCTAGGCCACAAATGAGCCCAGATAATGCAACACACAAACAGTGCACACTGCTAACCTGTTTAGCTGAGTGTCTGAGTCAGGGGTGTTTCAGTTTTGTGTCAAATCAAAGTAAAAAAGCAGTGAACCGTCAATCACCTTCCGCTGTCTGGTCCGTTTCATCTGAAGTAGAACACTTCGGCATTAGCCTAGCATGGACACCAGAGTGCTTCTGTTTTCTCTCGTACTGCCTAAAAGGAGCCACCTGCCTCGGTCAGCTGCATCAGACAACACTGTGTTCTCTGGGTCTTGTGCATGCAGTTGTGCCATGGTATAAATTTTTGGCCATAATGTTCATGTATAGAAACTTCACAAACAACCATGAACTTTAAGGTTCTTAAAGGGAAGTAGTTCCTCTGTGGTATTCCTCTATAGAACCCTTTGACACCTTTGTTTTTAGAGTATAATAGGCTGTGCACATACGTTCTACACTGGAACAAAGTGGACTGACTTTGCTTAGTTCAAATGTGTACCCATTTCCATATAAGTAAAACTAGTAAAATCAACATTTTTTTTCAGTTTTCTCTTGGCTCGTTTACTTTTGGCAAGAACTGAGTTGATGCAAAATGTTTTATTCATGTACTCCAGATATCCACATTTAAAACAAGTCTCTTTTTTCAATATACTTGATGTGGTCCTCTAATGTTCCTGCTCTGCACATGGAAGTATGCATTAATATATATACGCAAGATATTCCTTTAAAACTGTACAATATTCCATAATTTATAGCTCGATCAATAAACCATAATCACCTTTTCTTTTGTAGAAACATCTCCACAAGTACAGAACCAGTGCCAAAGCAACCAGGCAGCTCACTGCTACTGTGATCAGGAAATTCTGCAGAACTGAACACAAGAAACACAAGATCACCTCACAGGATCCATTCAGATCTTCACACTGAGGATGTTTAGCCTCCCAAGATGAACTCTGAATCATATGAATACTAATCAAACCATACCTGCGCATAAATCTGAGCTGGTACAGGACTGTGTTTTTTCATACAGTGTGCATATGTAAAAGTTATATGTTGATAAACTACAAAGGCTATTTAGTAAATGCTTATTTTCGAAATATAAGGTGTTCTTTACATCCGTAGAGTGATTTTTCTTGGCCACGTTATTTCTATTAATCCTCCTATAACAGGTTACATCAGTCGTACTTATACAGTTTAATAAAAATATAAAACCTCGTAACACATGATCACCCTAGCACTGTTTTTCCCAGAGACAAGCCCACCCTTCAATCCATGTCCTGGTGTCCCAGATTATTTTTAAAAGATGTACATTTGTCCCATAACAACCACATTATTATTACAGTTGGCAGTGAATCACTGCCAAACTGGTTTGTGTTTATACAAAAGGAACACATCAGTTATTTCCCAAGCTACATGTCTGTGTATGCAGCACCCCATAAAATGGCCAATTATGTTTGTTAGTTGTGTAAAACTGTAAAATAAGTGAGCCAATTATCAGCCGTTCTTCATCAATGTGACTTACTGGATCTTCACTCTGCAAATGGTCAAACATACTTGTTTACTTAATGACTTAAAAACTCAAAAACAGCTTAAAAACATGCAGGTCACGATGATTTTATTCAGTATATTTAAACAAAGACGATGAAATAAGAGTGCAACTCTAAATGTGACCAGTCTTTTATTGCACAAACTGAATTGGCCAAGGCTCATACAAGTGAACGACTGCATATCATTCAGTTGGCCAGTTTCAGATCAGCTGACTGCACCGCAGAAGCTGAATATTTCAGTGACAGCCAGGCTTTTGGTTTGAGTACATTTTGGAGTGGAGTGTTGTGAATTCTATGTAAAACTACCAGAAGGCAAACACTCCCTGCAAAAGACTGAGTTAAGTGGAAAACTTCGCAAACCTGACACCCCGGCTGCTATACATGAAGAACAACCCACCACCACTAGCTCATAGTCGAACCTTCAGTTGTTCTTCCAGATGAATCTTCGGTCGTTGTTTCAGTTTCTGGTGCTGTTGTGTCTGTTCTTGTAGGGCCTAGAAGGTGGAGAACAATATTTGTTGTTTTTTCCACTTGGTTCAGTCTGTTTACCGTCACATGGCTTGTATTAATTCAGTAACCTGTATCATTGAGGATGTTTACACCTTGCATTAAAATATGTTTCATGTCCAGATCTTATCTGGATCAACTTTGGCCTGATTTCATTTACACTTTTCTCTAATATGCGTCCCCAGTGTGACCACATGAGATATGACTTTACTTCCCTGTGTAAATAACACGTCACCGCAAGTCATTTGTCTGTTTACTTTACCCTCCTGTTATACTACAAATGGACAAGTCTGATATGGTGGTTTTCATCGAGTGCAGAGTGCAAGAAGGCCTTCAGTTTGGGGAGACCTCCAATTTCCTTCTTCCCACTTACTGGTTAGGATTCTACAGATACATTTACCCTTATGTCATTATATTTGGATAGAGAAAATGCATTCCATTTGCACTTGTGTTGGATTCGGCCAAGATTCTGACCACCTCTGAAACAGCTTCATTGAGTTAGACACCAGTCAGGAATGTCAGATACAGTCTAATGAAATCTTCTCCTGCCCAAAGCTCCAGAGATTAAATAATGAATAAAAGGAGTGGCACTCTGGGATGCATTTTAATGACCTATGATGTATTGATGACCTTCTGAAAATACAGTAATTTCAAGGAAATGCTGGATGGACACCCAGATTGATGACTTTGGAGAAATAGATGATGTCCAGGAAAGATTGTCATGGGTGTATGAGGTTAGCAGCCTGATATACAGCACTCATAAGAAGGCACCAAGCAAGCTATGGAAAGAAATGAGAAGCAGTAACCCCAGAGTCTCTTCAGGAGAGAGGGAGGGAGACTGATGAGCGACTCGACAGGATGGATTTAACAGTTGTAGCCAGAATAGAAGTGCAGGAAGGTCCAGAGAGGTGGCAGGAAGAGCCTCTTGCTGGTTATAGAGAGAAAGAGAAAAGACTTGGGCTTAAAGCCAGAAGCACTTTCTGTGGCCATTAGATAAAGGAGTTTCACTTTCCCCTTCATAAGATTTGCGATGTCATCAGCGTTGTGTCACTGTGAGAGAAACTAAGCTAGAAGGTTGGTGGTTATTATGTGCTGTAACACCTCACCCCAAATTAACCTAATACCAGAATAAAATAGGTTACCTGACACTGATGTTAGGTCAACTCACATTGAAGTTGACCAAAGCAGCCTTTATGATAGACGATGCCTATTGGAATAATGTTTATATAGGTGTAATGAAGGCTTATGAATACTGCCCTTTTATGAATATTAGAGAATAAGGGTGCTTTATAGAAGCTCTGATTTTGGAATAGATAAATAAAGCCATTTTATAGCCTTTTAAGCTTATCTTTCCAAAGGGTGCCAATAATTCTGCAGGCCCTGAAGCTCTTGTTATACAGAAATGAAACACATTTCAACACTTACTGGTTCCTGATGTCACACTGAGCTCCACTGTAGCTCCACTGCAGTAGTATCTACCAGCGTCTGACTGAGAGACTCTGAGTATAATCAGCACTAGATTTGCTCCTGAGCTGTAACGTCTGTCTGGATCAGCGATGTGTTTGGTCGTCTCTCCATTATGAGTGGTCAGAATGTCCACTCTCTGTCCGTTGATGTCTCTGCTCCAGGTCACTTTACCGTTAGTTAGTTTTCCACAGTAAAGGGTGGCGCGGGAGCCCTCTGTCTGACTCACATGTAGAGTCTCTGTTATGAAGAACACAGTGGAGCAGATACAGTTGATTTCTCGGTGTGTGGGATTGCTTTAATATGTTTATTACAACTTTATTACAGGTCCTTATTTGTCATTTCATCATTGTTTATTTTCTTTCATTGTGCCAGGTCCCTCCCTTTTCTTCTCATCATTTCATACCTTCTTGTATCTTTACTAGAATATACATATCTCTTCTGCCGCTATACATACAGTCTTTAGAATGCAGTGTTCTGTGCTGTGGACTGAAAAGTGTCATCATTTTACAGGTTCTGTTTGAATAGTATAGTTTTTTACAGGGGTGCCACGTCTCCAAAAGGGTGATTACTAAATTTTAATTACTGAAACGTAATGTTTTCCCTTTTTTAAGTACAAGCAATGATGACCTGTAATTAAAGTTAAACCTGAATACATTAATTTTTAATAAAGCTAAATTTTGGGGCCAACTTCTTCTCACTGTAAAATCACTGCAACACAATAAGACTGTAAATAACCAGTGTCTCTCTTCAGCTTGTGTGTACTATTGTTGATCTAAGTATTTCAAAGATTATTTAAAAAATGTTTTTTTTTATTAAAAAAATTAAATGATCCTTTTTTTTTTACATAATATTTAGTTGTTTTCTTTCACTTTGACACCCTGATCCTATCACCACCACTCTAAAGAAATCTGAGTCTCTGTAATCAACCGTTTTACACCAAACCACTCAGAATTACTATAAAAATGAAAATGTATGAAGTAAAAGTAATGATTTCCTGGAAATATAATTTAGTAAAAGTGCAAGCATGCAGTTTCAGTTTGAAGCCATTGTGAAATATTTGATATATGCACAGCTACGACGGCCACACAGCAACTGAATTTCATATCACTGCACTGAGTCACTAAAATCATTGTTCTGTTAATGTAATAGTCTTTGACTGTATTGCTGCTCACTTACCCATTATAATATTGCTGTAACACACAACCTCAAGTGGCATATTGCTTTAATAAAGGTGTAATAATACCGTAATAATACCAATACTGGCTTCACGTTTCAATATTCTCATAATATTTTCAGCAAAATCTGAATGGAGAAAAATTCTGCCTGTATCGCTGGTGTCGCAGAGGTTCCTGATGAACATGCTGCTGAGTTGCTGATTGGTGCTGATTGTTAGGTGCTCAATTCTTCTTGCACATTGTCACAATTTAGCATTGTGATATTACAATTTCCTGATACATTATGCCCCACCAAATGTTTGTTATATTTTCCACCCATGGTGTAGAGGACTCACCGCTGCTGATCATGTGTACACTTCCACACAACAGGAGGCAAAAGAACCCAATATGCTCCATCATGTTCAGACAGCAAGCAACAGAAACTAAACGAGGATAGTTTCAAATAAAACAAAGACAGGAAATGCCCACACCATGAGAACATGCAAAACATTTCCTCCTGTTCACTCACAGCTGTAAACATTTCCTGCAGTGCAGGACAAAACGTGCACATAGGTCTCAGAGGTGGGATCTCAGATCAGTGACATGGACTGAAGACACACTACTTATGTCATTTTGAACAGAGAAAAAAAGAAAAGAATTAGGACAGCAACCTTAATGCTGTAATGTTACGGGACAGCAGGGAGGCGGACCCCAGTGCACAGAGGAAACCTGTGAGAAAGGGTCTTAAATTAATTTATTGAGGTGAAGGAGTGTGAATTTGGCAATTGTGCACGTTGTGGTTGAGGTGGCTCAGAGCCAGACTCGAGCTGCCAATGTACAGATTGGGGGTCCGAGGAGTTACCACTGCACCACCTGGAAGCACAGGTGGAAACGGGAAAAACACCTCAGTGAATGGGAAATAAAAAAAAAAACAGCGGGAAAGGGCAAACAAGGGGGACACTGAAAAAAACGACTCAAACAAAGGCTGAGATAGAAATGAAAGATAATCAGAAAACATCTCTGGGATTATGAAAGGAAGGCAGTCTATGTTTCACCTGTTTGCTCTTCGTGGAGCAAACACTTTTGTATGGCATGGAGCCGTTTCTTGTTCAGGCCTTCTTTTTTGGGTTTTCAGTAGTTTTGGGGCAGTTTTTCTCTTTTGTTTTTCAGCCATCTTGTCTTTTTGATTCTCTTCCTTTCTTTTCTTTTTTTTCTTTTCTTTTTCTTTTTCTTTTCATTTCTTGTCCTTTTCTTTTTTTGTTGTTTAAATAACACCTGGGCTAAGTACCGTACAGGTCATCCCTCTACAAAGGTGTGACAAAGGGCTGCCACAGCCTCAAGTAGAGGACTCCACATGTATGCCATGTTGGGCCTAATCAGCCGGAGGGCTACTGGGAATTGGAGTTTCCTGAACTTATGGCACCTCAGACTACATGTAAATTACTAAAACCTTTTATTTCCAGCCTTTTGCATGACTTTGTTTTGCTACAGTTATTACTGCTACAGTTATTATTGCATTAACTGACAGCAGGTTTGACTTCAAATAACAAGCCCTTCATTACAGAAAAACCTTTAGTCTAATGGAGAGAACAAGTGGCAACATGCACTAAACCTAATTTAAAAAGAAAAGAAGCTAAACAACTTGGAACAATGGGTTAGCACGTAGTTTGGACAGCAAGCTTGGTAGTGAACAATAGCTAATTGAGCTTAGCTGATAATTAATCTAGTTAAAGTTTGATAAACTAGATGAAATTCTTTTAAAACGTACTAAAACTCAACCCAGACTCAAACCTCAGAGCTTCGAGACTTGATTCGGACTCACACCCTAGAGTTGAGACTAAGACTTGCACCACAGAGACTCGACTCAGAGTCACACCTCAGAGACTGAAGAATGAATTCTTGCTCGCACCTCTGAGACTCAGCTCACACTCTACCTCAATAATGCTAATTGCTGTCAACACCCTTACATGATTTCTAATAGTATTAAAGACTCAGATAGTCAAAGCTTCACTCGCACTTCAGAGACCTGAGACTGCATTCAGTACAAAGTTCTGCTACTGACAGTTTGAGCTCTAAACAGCCTCGCCCCTCAGTGTCTAAAATGCACACCATCATGCCACATAGATCACTAGGTGCTGACTCACTTTTATTACCTAGAACTGATGAAGTTACATGGGGGGGGGGGTGTCATAAAAATGTGGAAGTCCATTTGTTCATTTTCTGTCCTGACTGTGTCTGATTAGTGTTGAGATTCCTTTTTGTACAGTTTTTCTAATAATTTTCATAGTTTTACCCTTAACTGTTTTGTTCTGCATGCAGGGACAACAGCATCATTGCAATCAAGTAGGCTAATGTTTTAAAAGTTCTGGTTTCTAGAGACTCAACTCAAACTTGCACCACGGAGACTTGAGACTCAACTCAAACTTGCACCATGGAGACTTGAGACTCAACTCAAACTTGCACCTCAGAGACTTGATATAGAGACTTGAAACTCAACTCACAATCAAACGACAGAGATTTGAGACTTGGATTGGCACCTCATAAACTAGACTTGTCTCAGACTTTTTCTTCAAAGACTAGACTCAGACTTACTCTTCAGAGACTCAACTCACACTCACACCTTAGACACTTGTCTCGGACTCAGCAGAGACTCAGACATGTTTAAAGACTCACACCTTAAAGACTTGTCAGAGACTCTGACGCATTCCTCAGAGACTAAAGATTCGACTTGCACCCCAGAGACTTGGCTCAGACTAACCCATCAGAGACTTGAGACTCGACTGACACTTGCTCGTTAAGAACTCAAGACATGACTCACACCTAGGAGACTCAAGACTCTACTCACGCCTCAAAGACTTGACTCGACTGGCACTTGCACCCTCAAGACTTGAGACTCAACTCGCACTTTAGAGACTCAAGACTTGCCTTGCACATGCACCTCAGAGACTTGATCCAGACTCCCATCTCAGAGACACAATGCAGGCTTGGGAGAATAGTTTATGTCCTTTGCGTAAGGTTTGTGTACTTAAAGTAGAGCTTGAATCAAGATTTCTTGTCTTTTTCTTTTAATCCAAAAGAGTCATAATGCAAATATTCATTCAAACAAAGTAAGGTAAAACCTCCTGTTTGATAGCTGTAACAAAGTCAATGATAATATAAAACTTAAGGGATCTGAGAAAAGATAACATTTCATGCCATGTGCTACCCCATGAGGAAGAAGGACACTGGAGGCAGGTTTGACGGTCACAGCCATGTTATTTTTTATTTTAAACAAAGCACAAAACCATATTCAATCAAAACCAAGAAGCCGGCCACTTTTCAGTGGCCTCTAACTCTCTAAACAGACTGATCGGTTACAGACATCTTGTACACAGAGGTTTTTCAGCTCTCCTTTTTCTGCTGCTGTGCCTCATCCATGTTCTTTGTCCCTTGTCCCACTCCACTACTTTTAAAGGCACTTACACTGCCGAAGCCAAGCCAGCATCAGCTGGCTTTCATTAAGGCCATCGTGAGCACCTCAAGGAAAGAGAGAGCTTGCTGCTATCATTGCTGCCCGGGTTTTGGGTGTCTGGCATATACATATACAATGGCTATTCATTCATCTAATTCTTGTATCTGCAGTGTATTTGAACATCCTTTGACCTTGTGGTCTGAGGCCCCCTGAGGTCCCTGGCAGTCATAGACCTGGTCCTGTCAGTAATCCATCCCTGCTCTGTCTAGTCTCACATTTTGTTTCAAGGTCTGAAACTATTAATTGTGACAAATTGGCAAAAATAAAGAAATCAGGAGAAGGAAAATACTTATTCACAGTATTGCTATTAAAAATCCCATAGTGGTTCTGACAAAAAATAACATTAGTGTAAAAGTCTTGTTTTTACTTTTTTTTGACCAACTGTTGGCATTTCTGAAGGCTTGGACTTAAAAGGGACTGAAGAGGTAGGTGGGAGGAGATGTATGAGATTACTCATGGTTTATCATATCATTATCATTTCATATCTTCCTGTGTCTGTAGGGAGAGAGATATACATTGCCTTGTTTCATTAAACAATTCTCATCTCATAAACAGTCCAATCAAAGACCCACACCAGTAGAGACTCTTTCTTCTTTGTTTTTAACTTATATAGTATGTAAATACTGTCAAAGTTTCAAAGCCTACCATTCACTCCCCAGTCCATACAACTAAGCTGTAACAACAGCCAGTTTGAAATGTGTTGTGATTTCATGAAAACCAGCATATTTACATACGCCAATGAGTCAAAACATTATGACCACCACCACAAGACCACTAAAGGTGCCCTTTGGTATTTGGCACTGAGACATTAGCAGCAGATCCTTTGACTCCCATAAGTTGTGAGGTGGAGCCATCACGGATCAGACTTCTTGTTCCAGCAAATTCCAGACATGCCTGTTTGGATTGAGATCTGGGGAGTTTGGAGAACAGGGCAACACCTTGATCTCTTCATCATGTTCCTCTGACCATTCCTGAACAGAGTGTGCACTGTGACAGGGCTCACTGACCTGCTGAAAGAGGCCACTGCCAGTGGGGAATAACATCGCCACAAAAGTTTATATCTGATAATGAATGATTGCTCTGACTGTATTTGGTTGAGGATCTGTTTGTGTTTTCTTTGTCATCCAACACAGACAACACTAAAGATCAAAGGCATCTATACTCCTCCTGCTTTGCTTGTTCATTGTCCACCTTTCACATCTATGAAGAGCTACAGAGAAGACCAGAGCCTGAACAATTCTGATCTTTGTTTGTCAAGACAAAACATTTCATTTGAAGATCCTTTCAACCTCCTTCATCCTTGTTTTGCTGAGCTCCAATCTGTGTCATGTTTCTTGAGTGCTGGACCCTTTATTGTTAATAATTGATCCAAGCAGGCAAAAGCTGTCCACCATTCTACATCTTTTTCATCAGGGGTACGGTTAGTACTCTTTCATGTTGTCATAACCTTAGCCTTCTTCATATTAAGCTTCATATTAAGTCCCATTTCTTTGCTTCGTTCTTTACCCTTCCTAATAAGGGAATTGTTCTATAATCCACATATCAAAGGCTGCATATGCTTCTTTCATTATATGTTCTGCATAGAGGTTGAACAAGTCTGGGGATAGTGGGCAGCCTTGTTGAGCTCCTTTGCCAATGTGGAAGTCTGTTTGTTCATTTTCTGTCCTGACTGTGTCTGATTAGTGTGGAGATTCCTTTTTGAACAGTTTTTCATAATTTTCATAGTTTTACCCTTAACTGTTTTGTGAGATTCTGCATGCAGGGACAACATCATCATTGCAATCAAGCAGTAGGCTAATGTTTTAAAAGTTCTGGTTTCTATACTATGAGCTGTCACTGTACAGCACTTGTGATTTGCAACCTTGATACACCCAAGAAATAAGAGCACAAAAGACCTGCCTGTAAATAAGTGTAGATTTTATTCATGTTGCAAACAGCAATTAAAACAATTTTTTAA